AATCACACTGATTCACTTTATTTCGCTCCGAAACTTCGCTTGTCTCGCCAAATTCAATACTGCCCCGATCGCGGTATGCAGCGGCTTTAAATACACTTTTACACCAAAACATCCAGAATATTCCAGTAGATACGGGCGTCGACCGACCAGACGCAGAAAGTTCGAGTGTGGGGCTTCTAGAAAGCTTAATTCGTCTGTTCGATACGTTTTCCAGGAAGCCCTCCTCGCTCTGGTCCCCGACACTAGATGGCGCTAGTGCCAGGTACTTGACTTCAACTTTGGCGCGCAACAATATTTTGTGTTAATGAATATGCAACAACGCCCACTAGATTTTACCGTCACCAACCAAACCGTAACGCCTCACAACCGGACCGACAGCGAATTCACTACGAGAATATTTGACAGGTATTATTAGCCTATTATACACCTGATAGAAAGGGCATCATAATCGTGCATATATTGAACAGAGATGATACGATCACTAAACGCGTTGCTATACGCTCTAGTGGTCATGGTAGAGACTGATGTTTTTTCGTGCGTGTCTGATACAGAGCACGCTCATAGTATGAGCCGTTGTAGTGAGTTGAGACTTTAAAACATAAGCGATAGGGGTCCCGTCTGTGTAGAAACCATTTATTACTTAGACGATAACCGCCGTCAAGCAGCAGTGCATCCAGGATTGTGTTCCAATTTCACATAGTATATATATTACGTTCAATTGCCTGGCTACGCCACCCTGAATAAGCTTTTCAGGTGTGAACTAATCCAATGTACTCCCTATCTGTTGATATTTGTACCGCTTTCTTTTTCAATGTTATTTACAGTTATTAAAGAAAAATGTTACCAAATAAAAACAGAAACTTTTTTATTCAATATACATTAAAATATTATTATTGTAAGTCACTCTTTTGTTTAATTGCCATTGGTTCGGAAAAAAACCTCTGTCCTGGGAAGAACCAGCTAGAAAACCAGTAGGACTTTTTTATTTAAGCTTACAATCATGTTATTACAATTATGTTATACAATTAACAACAAACACAAATTAGAAATAGCTTGGTAGCGATCACCTTATTCCCTGGGGTTATTATCATCCATCCAAACGCTTTGATCACGGTTCCTTTGTAACTTAAAAATACATGTATCAAAAATCTTGTTTCTATGGAATGTATTCTATTAATCAGATAAATGTCCTCAACAGAAATTGTGAGTTTGGAATAGCAAATAGCAGAACAGCAAGGCCTGATGATACCATGATGTAAATAGGAATCCGTGCTGAAATATCCTATGACATGATATTAAAAAACGACAAAACTTTCATATTCTAAACATAACATATTATATAACTATAGTACGTTTCTAGGGCAGGCGGAAAAAAGTACTTGCCAGGCAGACGTTGTTCTGTCCTTTTTCGACGACCCTTTGTCATGTGCTATTAAAAATCCTTAAATTTGCAAAAAAATTGTGGGTCACTCATGGGCAAAAAAACTATCCTATCTCTCAAGTTGGACCAAACTGCACACGGTGTGAAAATTTTATTGAAATCGGTTGAGTAATTTAGGAGTCCATCGCGGACAAACAACGTGACACGTAATTTATATATTGTTACGAACTTGAGGTTCGTGACAGTAAAAACTGCCGATTGAATTACCAAAATTTACACTTTTATTACCGAACACCAATTTAAACTTAAAACACTAATAATTAATCACACTGATTCACTTTATTTCGCTCCGAAGCTTTGCTTGTCTCGCCAAATTCAATACTGCCCCGATAGCGGGTTGCAGCGGCTTTAAATACACATTTTCCGCCGAAACGTCCAGAATATTCTAGTAAATACGGGCGCTGACTGACCAGGCTTAGAAAGTTCGAGTGTGGGGCTTCTAGAAAGCTTAGTTCTTCAATTCGATACTAGATGGCGCTGTTGGTGGAAAGATTAGTCATGTCATTTTCTGGAAAGTTCTCCTCGCTCTGCTACCCGACACTAGATGACGCTAGTGCCAGACGTCAACTTAGGCGCGCAACAATATATTAAGATATAATCTTTGGCAAATAACGTATATGAACCGCTTTGATTTATCGTAAAACTCGCTTAATTTGGACAAGGCGCTTTTCATTTGATTAGCACAAGTATTGTTACAAAAATTTATTAGTTAAGTTTAAGGTGGCCCTAGTCGATAGCTCGAACTAAATGGTGGGCGGGGTTAAAATGCATGCTATCTCAGCCGACATCACGTGCGAAAGGGATAGACGCTTTGATGAGCAGTAAGAAGCTAGTGCGCACACACATACGCACTCGAGCGATGCGATTCATTTTTCATTTTTCGATGCGATTCATTTTTGAATAATAACATAAACTCAAACGGCAATTGTGAACGGCGCAGTGACTTAGCAATGAGTAGCTGCGCTGGTGGCCGCGGGTTCGAATCCCGCACGGAACAAATATTTGTATGGCCTACAAATAGTTGTTCCGGGTCTGGATGTTTGTCCTTGTGCAATTTATGTTTGTAAACTGCCTCCACGATACTGGAGAAAATCCTACTGTGGGGTATCGTATTTTAAAAAGAGAAAAGAGAGAGGAAACAAATTGGTGTTATTATTATGAACCCAATTTAGTTGTTATTATGAAAGTTCTTATGTGAATTTAAGTAGATGTTGTTATTATATAATAATTTCATTGATTTGTTTTTACCTACTTTTTAACCGACTTCGAAAAAAGGAGGCGGTTCTCAATTCGTTGTTTTTTTGGTTATGTATGTTCTGTTCTCCGATTTCTCGAAGATGCCTGAACCGATTTGGAAAATTATTTTTTGGTTTGAAAGAATATACTTTCCAAATGATCCCATGGTAATCGATGATGGTCAGATCAAGATATGATGATGGGATCTTGGAGAAATCGAGGGAACTCTTCAATAAATGACAGCAAATCAACCGCGATTGCTGCTATTGCGTATCTATGCATTCTTTACGCAACCACACAGTATAATATCACGCCTGTACCCACTAAAGGGACATAGCTCTCAACTAAAAATAGTTACATTAAAAAATTTTTTACTTCTAAAACAGAAAAAAGTGTAAAATAATTATGTTTTTTTATGTTTTTGTATTTTATTGTAGGTTATGCAAACATTACTGTAGGTACTATGTATTTTAAATAGGTATTTACTTATCATAGCTAGTTAGCTATAATATCTGAGAGGGTTTTGGGGCAAGTAATTATCCGCCTCGCTGCCCCAATGCGTGTTGGCGAACTTCACATGTCTTCGAAATATTTTTTTTCTCGGACATGCAGGTTTCCTCACGATGTTTTCCTTCACCGCCGAGCACGTGGTAAATCAGCACTTAAAATTGCAATTAACAATTTCATTGGTGCCGGCGGGGATCGAACCCGGTTTGCTCGCGTACTGTGAAATTTAAAGCGAGCGCTAACCATCTGAGCTACCACGGCTCTTAATTCTTATGTACTTACATAAATTACATTAGGTATATTAGGATATGAGATTCCTATACTTACGTATACGGACTTAACTACTTTAATCTGCCAACTAACGAAAACATCTCATTGATAAGCACGATTATCGAAAATCTAAAAATTACCTATTCTAATTAAATTTATAGATAATTTTAAGATTTTCGACAATCGTGCTTATCAATGAGATGTTTTCGTTAGTTGGCAAATTAAAGTAGTTAAGTACCTAATGTACTACCTGTATCGAAAGTTCATTATTATGTACCTACCTGTTTTCAATTTTAACTACATGTGCTTCAACAAACTTATGGGTCAATTTACCAGCTATATTCATCCCGGCTTCAGCAAGTGGACACGAACAAAAGGAAGCAATTTTTCTAAATAAAGATGTAGATATGCAGGTATTACAACCATAAATAGATAGCAGCGGCTAACCTAGTGAGCATGTGTGGGTGCGCGCTGCGCCCCCCCTCCGTCTGTCCCACTGATCGGGGGAAACAATTTGTAGCGAAAGACAAGATGATTTACAACAAAAAGGAGCGCGCGAAATTTTATAAACAGACTTTTGGGAGTCTGGATGTCATGAAAAATCTATTGAATGTATCTGTTCAAAATAAAATTATTTGCATTTTTGAACAACTAATCTATCCATATATGGTAACTGTTTTGCAATTTACGTTCTTCTTATGGTATTTATTTACGCCCAAAGATGTGTTAAAAATAGTGTTGAAATTCGGAATTTTCGACGCTTAACACTTTTAAACATAATCTTTTTTTTACATTTTTGTTTCCATACAGGGCTAGACAATGATGAGACAAATTGAAATCATTTTTTATTTTGTACGTACACCATCAAACAGTGGAGTAATCGCCAGACTACGTTTGTATGGAAGAACGAGTGACTAGTGTACCCTTAAGAGTACATTTGTTCAACAAAAGTTGCTCGGCAGCAGAATTTGTGTTTCGAAAGATAAATTGAATGAGAACAACCTACATTACAACTGCAATTATTAGTCCACGTTCCTAAAATGTATGTATTGAATTAGTGCAAATGCCCACGAGCGTAGTGTTTTTACATACTGAAACGTATTGCATCTGAGACTTTAGGGGAAGGGAGTTGATGGACTGCATACGTTACTTACCATAAAGTGTAGTTTTAGATCGCTTATCACTTATAAAAATCTTCTTTATGAGTATGACGAGTATGTTTTGGGGCGTTTAAAATTCGGTATAAGATTAAAGGCCAATTTTATAGACATACTTGCACTTATTTATTCATTACAGGGTATCAAAAGGTCCACAGCTTCCCTAGACCTTCCCCACAGATTACCTTATTTTTATTTTTATTTTTTGGAGATTTTGCCATAGTTTGGCAGGCTTGGCAGGCGGGTTGGCAACTGCAGTTTCCTATAATTTTCACTTGCTGCTGCTGCCCATCTCCTGTTTCTGTTTTCATTTCATGTACTTATTTTTTAAATATACGGCGAATTCTTACGGCAAATGTGTCTATAAATGCTTTAAATGTTGATAACAGAAAACAATAAGAATGGAGAGCGGTCAGCATGGCTGGAAGCCGCGTTGGGCGTGTCGATGCTCATGTTCGGTGCGCTGCTGGAGCGATGTTGCGCACTGTTGCCAGAGCCGCCACATTCGCAGCAATACGCTGACGCACTGCTGCTTCTGCCTGCTATTAAGGTGATCACTTACTTTATAGATATAAGTATGTATTGTTACTTACTTATTGTAAATAAGTAAATGTTTGTAATACTGTTAACTTTGTAATACTGTTGCCTTAAGAATTTTAAGAATTTTAATTTGTAAGAAATCTACTTACGATTACAAAATATATATTACTAGCTGGCCAACTGGCCAGACAGACTTTGTTTAGCGCTTTCCGACGAAACTTTGTCTTATAAAAATCTATAGGTAAATTCGCAATAAAGAATATTTGGGGTCACTTATCGGGATAAAAATTATGCTATTTCTCAAGTTGGAGCAAGCTATATAAATATTTACAAAATTTCATTAAAATCGGTTGAGTGGTTTCGGATTTCATCGTGGACAAACAATGTGACACCTAATTTTATATAAGATTATATTAAGATAGATAAGATTATATAAGATTCGTAAGCAAAATCATCCGAAAATGCCACAATATTATTATAATATATTTGATTGAGCAGTCTGTTACAGTCTAAGTGTTATGCCAGTAAATTGGGCGAGTATATTTAAAAAAATATATATTAATAATATGTATATGTATAAAATAAATTACAACTTATCACATTAATCCGGGGCGTAGATCCGGCATACCTTAGTTAATTGAAAGGGCTCGTAAAATTGTAGTGAGTATGGTGTTTTTATCAAAAACACCTATAATCTGCATAATTTTGGTACAATGTTTAAAATTTCGCCATGTGATGATTTGCGTAAAAGAAAGAATCTTATGTCGGCGCTGTGGGTGTCTTAAGAGATAATAGCTCGGGAAATCTTTTAGCCTTTGATAGTATTATTTAAACCTTTATCAAATACCCAGAGCCGCATAGAGAAGGAGCGCCTGAGGATTTTATATTTGTTGAGGCACACGATTTGCGATGAGCACTACATTTTATGCATATTGCAATTTTAATTTTTACCTCTTGATACAGGTGTGGTCCGACTGGATGTTATGTCATAGTAGTGTGTGGAACCCACCACCCTCATTTGACAATTTCGAAATTGAGTAAGTTTATTCTTTCATATATTTTGGGATATCTTTATATCATGAAGCTTTAATGGATGTGTTTTTATTTTGGTAAGGAGCGAAAATGACCCGTGGGATTGGCTTGCGAAACTTATGAACATTCTCGAAAGTCTCGATGACAAGTCGATAGAATTGGAAAACGAAATGAAAGAAGGTAAGGAGAAATCAATAAATACGGATAAAGTTACAGCCTATGTACATCCTAGCTAGGCACAGTCTTCCTCATATTTCTTAGAGGGTTATGGAACAATTAGTCCGCCATGCTACTCCGGTGTGCGTTGACGTATTTCACGTGTATTCGATTTTTTTTATTCCTTAGGCATTTGCGATGTTTTCCTTCACCGCCGAGCACGAAGTAAAGTAGCAAATCATTAATTATTGTCGGCGGAAATCGTATCCGTGATGGTTGCGTACACCTCTGGACAACTTAAGTATAAGCGTTTGTGTTAACCGTGACTTTGTACTTACAACTTTAAAAGTCTCTGCTGGACATATTTTTTTATTATTTACAAAATATAGTTATTAAATAACATCCGACAGTAAAAATAAACTTACAAAAGTTTTTCCATTTACCGCCGATTCGTAACTTCGACCATGTTCAATCGGTTCGCGTAGCGACAACTTACGTAATGATTTACATACATGGTGTGACAAAATAGCATTTTTTTAACTATATGTGTACTACAGCAAAGGATAGTTAGTGAGTATGATAAATAATAGTAGTAATTGAGATAATACTGTTACGATTATGTGTATCTGATCTGTGTGTGATCTGATAAAATGTACTTTATCATAGTGAATCATTTAGTAACTAGGTACATCAGTATTTTAAATTGCAATTAATAATTGTAATGAAAATAAAACCACTGGCATCTACATTGCTTTCATATGGTATAGTATGGAATATTTCTTCTTTGTAAAATTTTTTGATATCATCAATTCTTTTCTAACTCGCTAAAGTAAACAGTGTACTATACTGTTCACTATGTTTTTATAAAGTATTAAACGCACAAGCTTTCGTGGGCATCTGGAGCCTATCTTAACAAAGGAAGCCATCGATTCATCGAAGTCAATAACTTACGTTAACACCTCTTAATTTTTTACGTGATAGAGCTACGCTGCAGCTATGTATGTATGGCTAGCTTAGCTGCAGCGTAGCTCTCACGAATAGGTCGACTCGACCGGGGTATGAACACATTGTCACAGAATACCAACGTGAAATAACAGAACAATGCTACTGTGTTTTGTATGGTAAGTGTAGACATCCGGAGACCCTTTTTACTGGTAACGAAGCATTTTACTTCTCAGGGATGACAAAGTATTTTCTTTTTGATTCCTAATCGATGATAGATGTAGATGTGGATGGGCCAACCATCCATTCATCACCAGGTGGACCACGTTTGTCACTTTTATTATATAGAGAAAAAAAAAACTGCTTAAAAATAAAGTGGAAGAGTAATTTTAATACTAATAATTGAGAATTATTATGTGGAACCGCAAAAGATAAAGAAGCATCGCGTCATGAGGATGATGTAGTGGTATCCTCGTGAGCGGTATTAAGAGCGCGGGGGCGGGCGGGTGTGCGCATGCGCAGGGCACGCGGCGGTGCGGCTGGCGGAGGACGCGTCGCTGGCCGGCTTCACGCCGCTCATGTACATGGAGCCGGCGGTGGCGTGGTTGCGCGCCGACCGCGCCGCGCCGCTGCCCGCTGCAGAGCACGCGCTCCGCACCAGGAAGCTGCTGTTTTTCGGCACCGAGTCAGTACTTCCTACTAGCATTGGCTTAATTAGCTTTACCATTAACCCTTCAGCCCCCAAGCGGTCTCATCAGACCGTGGCCATATTCCGTCAAATCCCTAGCTCATCCCCACCCACTTTAACCCATAACTTATATAAGAGACAATCAAAAGTATCAAAAATCCTCTGCATCTGCGTAAAATTGTAGGGATAGTTTTTGTGTGGATATAATTTATCTTTTTAATAATTTCAAGTAATATATATTGAAATAATTGTCATTTTCACGCTGCCGACATTTGTTATCAAAATACAATAGTCTTTTTGCAATAAACTAAAACCTGCTTTTATATAGAGTATTTTGTATAGATTTTATAATGACAAACTTTTTCATAGAAAAGTAGTCTCCAAATATAAGTTTTAATGGTTTTAAGTGCTGTGCGTGGGTGCAGTCGCATGCTCCCGCTCGGGATTTGTCGGGCGCATGCGAATGCGACGGGTGTTGAGAATTTTAAGGGGCCTGAGGGGTTAAGGCGAGCATTTCCGACTTTATAAGGCTTTTACCGTTGCATGCAAATTATCTAGGACCAAATAAGAGTGCGACATTCGCTGGACAAAAGTTACTTTTTTAAACGATTTTGCTTATTTCCACGAAATGAATGTTCTAAATAACAATGTAGCTTATTAAGTACATACACTACGATACATTTTATATTATTGAATAATATTATATGGTTATCGCTTTAAAAAACGAGCATTTAAACGCCAATGAATTTTTCCAACGATATATTTTTTATCACGATTAATATAAAGGAGATATTTTAAAAGATTATTCCATTAAGAATTTATATTAATATTTCATGCGCATATAACTATTTCTATTACATAGATATTTATGTCCAACCTAGCCTTAATTGGTATACGAATTTTCAGTTAACATTTAGCAAATTAAAAATAGCTGCGAAATTTTGTGAATCTGAATGCATTCATTGCTTAATTTCGCACTTCGTACGTAAGTGCTTCGCGGCTGCGTACGTGCGCTCTCCTTCGCATTCACGGGGTAGTGATTGATATCTTACTCTTTGGGAATGCTAATTTAATTTGTGTGATTTTTCTAATGCTAATCGGCGAATTTTATCACGTGATCTCTGTCTTGAAAAGCGGTAAATGAATAACAGGTACGAAGAATGCGGCTTAGGCATACTGTCTTTGATTTTTCGAAAATGCTCGTGTTTAATGCTGTATATTGCATAAATGCGTATAGTTGCTTAATAATAATATCGTGTTGTTTATATTATTCAGTCAAATTTCAGTATGTTTTGACAACTGATAGTAAAAGTTTACGTATTAAAACATTAAATTTTATCGTCTTTGCTTATAACTCATTTACTGTAAATAACCTAGATAGGCACTCAGTTAAATAATATTAAAAAAATTCACATTTTATAATCAATTAACTGTGCTTATTTAATAACGTCGTAATATTAGCAAACAGCATTAGCGTTAGCAATTAGCAAGCAAAGACACGCATAGTAGCATTAATCACCGTTACTGCAAGCTAGCATTATTTTTGGGAGACGGAGATGATAATTAAACATAATTTTAACACAAAAAAATCATATACTATAAACTAGCTAACAGATATAACGTGATCAAACGTGGTGGAGGCACTCTGCAGCTATATTATGCTTGTAGCATGAATTGGTCGGCTCAACCGGGGCAGGACTACGCTCTCAGAATACTAGCTTAAAATAGCAGCAATATGCTGCTGTGTTTCGTATGCTGAGTGTAGAGTGGATATCCTTTTTACTGGAAACGAGGAATCCATCTCATTCCTGAGGGTTGACAACACATCTCTTCGTGCCACAAAGCACAGTCCTGAGCCACATGTTTGCATCGACTTCCTGCATGCCCCACCAGGTCGTCACTACATCTAGGGGAGGGGTGGGGCGCCCTACACTTCACCTACAGAGGCTGTGCGCAGGATCGGACCACCAGACACTCTAGTCCTCCCCTTGCTGTCGACATATCACGCATTCAAACCAAACTGTTTGCATCGTTATTCATAATGCGTACATCAAAGGATTGGAATAATTTTTGCATTCCATCTCAGTCCTGAGGGTTGACAACGCATCTCCATTTTATTTTTTAATTAAGGTTAAATGTAAATGTTTATGGGCCACAGCATCAACTTACATATTCTATAAAAAAAGTTAATGATTGATGGCAGTATAACTACTAAGTAAAATTTGGAATTACTTAATTAATAAAGAGGAGGAGGGGGGGGGGCTATACGTCGCTTGATTTTTATATCATTTCCTGTAGTCATATCCCACGACACACATGAGACGATATTAGTTGATCGGTTCTTACATCAATCAATCATGTCATCATAGTCTCCGTCGGTCTCTTTTCAAATAAGTTTTAGCTTGCCTCTTATGGCTTGTGGGCGTAAAACAAAAACGATCCTGAATTATAAACGATGCAATAAATAGAACTAAATAAAAAATAATACAAAAGTTAATTGTTTTAGGTACTTAGTGGGTGTAGAGCCGCCAGTATTGAAGCTAGAGTATCCAGCGGATGCTTCACCACGATACGTCAGTGCGGTGCAGAAAACGCAGCCGCAATATCCTCCGCTACAACAATTGGTATACTACCTGTTATTGATTCCAGATGTTTAAATATAATGTGATTTTGACATCGCGATTCTTAAAAATATATCAAAATTATCCTTCTTTGTCTATAGTAGTTTTAACCACAGAAGTTTTTCTAGCCCGAAGATTCTGATGATGAAGAAAGTATAGGTGAAGCGACCAGTGGTCCTACTAGTCTCAGTGAAGGCGTGGACGAGTTGCCCGACGGAGCTGACGAGGCCACGAAGAGGCTTTTAAAACGCAAAGAACAATTAGAATATCGAAAAGCGACATTGGAGCGTAGACGACTACGAATGCAGGTTAGCGTGAATCTAATTTGTAATCTAGACACACGGGAGTGTGTCAACCAAACAGTCGGCACTGGCAGTTTTTATATATACACGTATTACACGAACTATTTCGAGCTATTTAAATTATGCACGTTTATAATTTTGCATGTCTAATAAGGCCTTGATTATTTAGAATCCCAAATCTATATCTATACAAATAAATAAAATTAATGGTCTATTTGACTTACTGACTCACTGATTCAGCTATCAGAACCTAGGCCATTTCTAGGTTACTTAGAAATTTGAAATTAGGTGTCAATGTAGATTTTAAATTCTATGACTAGTATAAATTATGATTTAACAAATGGCTCTATAACCTTCTTAGAAATAAAAAGAGGTCTGTGCCCAGCAATAGGTATAAACTGTAACTCTAACTTTTATTATGCTTTTATATATGGTAAATGTTGCAGATATATTATGGTATAGCTTGAATGAGAGAGTGTGTGTGAGGGTGAATGCTGGTATTCAATATATATAAACATAACACAATTTATATAAAAATATTACAATATATATATATATTTATATGATCATATGATATATATATATATATATATATATATATATATATATATATATATATATATAAACATAATACAATTTCAGTTATGTTAGGAAGTGTCCATATGTGTTTTGTGTGTATGTGGGAGAGGGAGCAATGATTCGGTGAGATGGGTGTAGGAAATGGTGGGCGGCGCGTGTGCGGGCGAGCCGGTGGAGGTGTTGGTGCGGCCGCGCTGGCTGGTGCCCGACACCAACTGCTTCATCGACCACCTGCCGCTGCTGCGCGCCATCGCAACCGCGCCTGCGCAGCCCTACCTGCTCGCCGTGCCGCTCGTCGGTGCGTACACTACACACAGTCGCCACGTTCGACACGCAACTGGCCAATAGCACTTTCTTTGTTAACTTTATAGTTGTGGGTTGAAGGTTGAAATTCACAACTATATAATGATGAACACGTTTTAATATAAAACCGAGATTTTATATGTGAGAGACGTGCGTTACCAAGGGCAATTGTGGTTAGCTCACTGGGAGGAGCGTATACGCGTAACTTGCGTATGTGTCGGCTCGCGAAAGATCGGGGCGCGGGGTGACGTCATTTAAACCATTAAAACTTATATTTAGAGACTACTTTTCTATGAAGAAGTTTGGCATTATAAAATCTATACAAAATTCTCTATATAAAAGTCAGTTCATTACAAAAAGACTATTGTATCATGGTAACAAAAACAAAACATACCAAGCGAATGTCGGCATGGAAAATCACTATTATTTCAATATATATTACTCGAAATTATTACCGTAAAAAGATAAATTATATTCACAAAAACCTTTCATTACAATTTTATAAAACACTATACTAAAACACTATAAAAATCCAAAAATCAACACAATAACACTCACGTGAAAATGGCGTACGAAATGAATGTAGATTATAAATAAATATCCATAAGATAACTTGACTTTTAATTCAAACTGCAGTAAGCATTAGGAACAATGGGGAACAGGGAAAAAACTTTTAATAGAGAGGTGCGAGTCTACCACAAATTTTAATTAGGAAAATACTGTTGCTCGTGTCAACTCTTTAAATTTTTATGGATATACGAATATAATGATGGAATTTGTGATGCTGCCAACTCACACAACAGTGGCAGAGTCGTGTTCGCGCAGTGCAGAGATTCGCAAGATAGAGTGACGACCTGATGAAACATTCACGGCAAGGACTTCACTCGGTTTTGCATCGAGTTTTATTTCTATTTAAGAAGGGAGTACATGTTCAACAGTGTCTTGTCTGCAACTGTTGCTTGTCTGCAATAATTGTAATGGTAATTTTTAAATAGATATACGAGTACAAGTAATGACGTATGAAAATTTCACTTGCTACTTGTCAGTAGCGAATGTTATCTCGTTCGCTCGAGATATCCCATATATTTTAAGAGATGGATCTCTCAAGTTAAAGCAAGATCGCAAGAAAAAAAAGAAAACCTTACCTGAAGTCTAATTTTCTTATTATATTTCCTAACAACTGATTATTTTATTTTGACTCCACCTCAAATTATGCCTATTTATTAAAGTGCTAAGTTTAACTAAATATCTTGATATTTTATTCAAAACAGTGAGATTCATACGAGACGATAATAGCTGTATTCTTAATAACGAAGTTTCGTGTTTAAAAGGATGGAAGGAATACTTTGAAAGCGTGTTAACGAGTGAGGAGACGTTTGAATTAAATAAACTAGAAATTCCGAAAGAAGAGGAAACAGGTGGGGATATAAGTATAGATGACAATGAAAGCAGTGAAAAGCATGAAAGCAGACAAAGCAGCCGGATACGATAGAGTATCACTCGAAATGCTAAGGGTTGGAGAGGGAGTGGTGGCAGGCTTACTGCACACTATTAATTTTATATTTGGAACTGAAACGGCTACCGGGAGACTGGGAAAAGGCTCATAGCAAGACTGTAAAACTATCGTGATATCAGCCAGAAGGTAAAAATTTGTCTGATAAGAAAAAACTATGGTTTGCAAGATGATGTTGGGACCAGAATGAAGAATGGATTGTTTCAGGTTTGTTCATGTAGAAATATGAACGAGGAAAGAGTGACAAAGCAAAGGAGGATGGCCAAATCGTACCAGGCAACGAAATGATAATGTCCCAATATGAAATATTTATGTAAAATACCCTTATTGTTTAAGGTCACAAACAAGAAATACCTCTCTAAGTAGCAACAAAATTAAGTTAGTATGTAGACATCAAATCAACTACTATGCTGATTTATTATGTACAGGATTCTTGTCATAAAAATAATAATGTAGGTCATACTAAGCTAAACGTTTTGTTCAATTACATATGTATAACGGAACGTCATTTTTCATCGCTTAATCTGTGGTCATCGATCCGCGCCGATCCGCGCCATTGTTGCCATTTCTTCTGTTGTTTTGACCTCGATATTGTTTCACGGACTGATTTTTTCACATCTTGGATAATTGTGTAAGACATCACAACTACACAATAAAGGAATTCTTCAATAATAGTACGTATTTACATACCTATTTATTTTATTACACTAACATAATACATCATCATAATACAACTCTGATCATCATACATAATAATACAACTCTAATTCTTATTTTAGATCACTGAAGAAGATTACATATGTGATGCCTGTTACTGACTCCGGGTTACCTAATGAACCTGGTGCCTCATCTTCCCGTGGCCACAAGCATGTTTGCATACTTTGTGGAAGTTCTCTGAGACATCGTAAACGTGACCTTATTGTGAGAGAAAATTCATCTCAGTTGCAACAAGCAATAAATGTTGAGCTTGAAAATAGAATTTCCCCGCGGCAGGTAATAATTACCTTTTTTATTTTGTACTTTTTTTTTGTTTTGTCTTGGTATCAACGTTATAGTAAATTTATCACTGCAATTTTATATTGTTTTCTAAAAATGTTTCTATTTGCTCAGGTTTAATAATAATGAGCTAAAACAATTATATTAAGACAAGGTTGTATAGTTGTTTCAGGCTACTTCAACAGACCATGTTTGTTATCTCTGTTGCTTGAGACTCAAAAGAGTTGCAACACATAATATGAGGAATCGAAGGACAGTTGGGTGATGTGCACATGTTATGACACTTGTGTTGTACCTTGGGTGGGCCAGGCATCAGCCGACAATATCGCCAGCGCCAACAACATTCCTTGATGATGTAGTTGTAAGAGAGGATGATGAATAAAAAGTAATTTTGTCTAGCCTACTTATTTCATTAAAGTACTCCTAAATTCTACCACTACACTTCATTTACACCCGTAACCTACCATTACTCGATTTTTCAATACATATGCAACTTTAGTATTGAAGACTGAAAGACATTAGGTACTTATCTAGCGACTAACTCTCTTCAGCTAGAATTGAAGTGGTCAAACTACAAAAAAGCCTTGAAATATTTCAGGAAAGACTTCACGTGTGATAATAATTACACCATCCTTGTTTTTTACACTACATACTGTGCAAGCTAGTGCAATATATGTAGGTGTAGTTTTTATTGAATTATCGGTCATAATCTGTCGTCGAAACGGTCAACTTCATGAGACGGTTTGTCAAGACAGCTCTTTTTGACATCGAACTCTAGGAGTATGATGCACAGAAGTAGGGTGCGCTTTGAGAGATGTTCTATTATTGGGTGATCAGCCTCCTCACTTATCGCTAGCTACACTTTTAGGCTACGTTGCAGTCTGATAAAGCGTCCAAACAAGGGTTTTCGTTAAAAATCAACATGTAAAATAAATTGCCTTTAGAAATAACAAGACTTCCATTCAACGCGTTTCGACAAGTGACAAAAACATACTTTTTGAATCACGCTTTCTATAATATAGAAGAATATATGAAATGTTAATTTACTGGCTTGCTTGACATGTAAAATAATGAAAATGTAATAAAATGAAAAAAATAAAATGTAAAAAAAATAATCCGATCTAATCATAAATCATTTGAATCGATTGTAATTTTGACATACCAATGTTAACGAAATGGCCAATAAAAAAAAAGTAAAAGGTATTCGTTGATTCAGCCCTAAAAATATTGTTGACGTTATTATAAAAAATCGTGGCTATTTAGATATTATTTTTAAACGTGATGGTGTTTACAACATAAAAACAAATCAATCTAACCATAGTTTGTTTTGGGACATGAAAAAAAAGTCAAGTCCAGCTCCTATAGAAATTTGGCCATCCTCCTTTATGATGCAGAAGTGGACGGAAGAGTTGGGAAGGGACGTGCCAGACGAAAGTATATCGATTAAATTGGCAATATATTGAAGATGAGCTAGACTAGGAGTGTTCTTAATCGACGAGCATGTATGCGTAGAGGTATATGGAAGGTAAAGGTGGAAGAGGTGTGTCACGATCGTGCCAAATGGAAGTCTGGTCTCTGTTTATCCCTCTAGGTGACAGGCGTAAGTGTTTATGTTATGTATCTATGCATATATTATTACATTTTCTGAGGCATTTCATCTTCTCATATTTTCCGTGTTAATTACTACGATAATTTCATTTTATTGTTATTCTGGCGAGATCTCGGCAAGTAGACACCAACGCTCGCTCCAGTCGCGGCCACAAAACATTTGAACGGCAACAATGATGTTGCGCTTTCGCTTGCACCTAGACTGGTCTTATGAAATGCACCACATTATTATTGACAATACTTATTACTAGTTTTTGTATGAAAATTTAATAATATTTTTCTTAAGAAGTTTTTATTATTATTATTCATACATTTATAATAACGTTTTAAATTAAAAGAAAACGGCACATGATTAATACAACTAAAATAATATTATGAAATATTTTTTACACTCCAAATCGAAATCGTTTTTCATATCGTTTTCGTCCACTACGGGAATTATAATGTCTTAATGAGTCTTAAATGTATAGCGATGAGAAAAAAACATGGTGTACTTGAGAGACCGCGCTCAAACTGTCGACAATGCGTACTGCACGTTCATAACCCTAGTGCTTAATCATTTTACAACCGCGTCTGCCACTTATCTTGGCATCTACTATAATATTCCCAATGTTTATTATGATTTATTTTGAGATTATAGCCAAGCTGAGATCTCGGGAGATTGCATTCCATTACTTGCCAGTTTCTTTGTGATCTAGTTTCGCCAAAATTCCACGAACACTCGAATATTACTGTACCTAGTCAGGTTAGGTAATACCAAATTTAGAATATATTGAAAGGTTTCTTTTTTCGTAGGCAGAAACGGCTTGGGATCGTTATTTAAGTAGGCCCATATTAAGATGGAACCTACCGAAATCTCTTACAGTCTGTTAGGGTCCAATGTGAACATAGGCCTCCCCCATAGATTGTTTTGTAAGGGGGATATTTG